CCCCAAAACCCCAAAACCCCAAAACCCCAAAACCCCAAAACCCCATATTATTTCATTTCACTTGAATATTTTATAGACTTTGAGTAGAGGTAAAATGAAGTTAAAAAGGATTAGCAAGCAAGACAAATATGACAGTACAGACAAGGATGTAGAGATGCTTGACCAAATAGATAGATCTAACCCCCTTCAACAAGAATGAAGTTGGCCAGATACACTAGAAATTAAACAGTGCAGTCCTATCAAAGAAGAAGGAAAAAGCGATGCTTCGAAAAATCATGATGAATTTTGATCTTCAGAGGGCTATAATATTTTCCAAGCTATCCTCACTGTGGATAATGGTTTACCAGAATGTTTTAGGACTTCTGAGATTTTACCAGGAGAGCCCAAAATTCCAAGGAAAGAAATTAGGGAGAACACTTCAAGATCAGTCTACAGACGTATACATAAGCATGAATCAGACTATAAATTAAATAATCTCAAATTTAACACAGCTGCCAAAGGAGGTTTTGCAAAGAATTCTAATTATTTCCAGAGGAGGCCTAAAAGACAACATCATGATCATCGGAGAAAACATCACAGAAGGCATTACAGAAATACCAAAAGATACGAAGAAAGAGCCAAAAGCAGAAGAAGTTCAAAGAGCCGGAACAAATCAGCTTTAGAGGAAGAAAGTAAGAATCAAATATTTCTCAAATTCATCAGCACTCTGAGTGGATTAAATAGTTTTTATAGATAGCAAAAAATCATCCCAAGATTGTATCTCTTCTATTTTTGAAGACCGTTGCAAGATCAGAGGCCCACCCTCCTCTATTAAGTTACTGAGAGAATATATGGAGGAATGTACTCCAGACAAACAATTGAAGCAGATGTGTGACTGTAAAAATAACCCGAAATACGATACAATCTGAGAGTACTGAAACAATGAGGACTTTGAAGGATCAATGATAGGTAAGGAATAACCTTTCTTAATTAGAGCCTTATTTTAGCATAAAACCAATCCTTCCACTTCAACAGAAATTTTATAGCTGTTGTTTTGAAGAAATTTTCCTCGTATTGAACTGAATATTTTTATCCAATAATTGGTTATCTAACATAAAGAAAAGTTTGGGTACAATTATCATATAATTCAGTATAATGGTAGTAGGTTTTCTGCTGTTCCAAAATCTACTAAATACTATAAGCTAGTTTTCCATTCATATTCTTAACAACCAGAGATTGTCATTTTGCAGTTAGCAGTTTTACTCCAAACAGCTGTCTTTTTAAACTTAAAAGAAACATCTTTAAATTCGACCGTATAGGAAAAATAGATGAAGATATGTTTGATGATTCCCCAGTACAGACTCCTAGGCAAGAGTTTGTTTTCCTAACCTTTGACAATCTTCAGCCTGAAGATATAGAGAACCGATACTCACCAGGCGGAATAGAGAGCTAATTATTTTGGTGAATGCCAACATTTGATCTCTTCTCCTGGGTTCAAGCTTATAGAAGTAACTCAACTATCAAAGAGAATTTTACTCTACTATATCACAAGGATTGGATAATCCCTGTCATCTTAGGATGGATCAAAGATTGGTGGTCTCAAGAAGACACTATAATAATAATTTTCACTTGTTTTCAATGCATTTAAATTCTCTCGGGGTTTTGGGGTTTTGGGGTTTTGGGGTTTTGGGG